TTAATCTTACTTGGTCTCTTACAAATTCTCTCTTCGTCCTCGAAAGTTCATTTTTCTTACCATGGGGGAGTTCTTGGTCTAAGTTATGTCCTACAAAGTTCCTTGAGGGTCCTTGCATGGGTTTGTCCTTCTATGACATGTTTTTCTAATTTTCCTTTGTGGCCTTTTGTTCTGCCTTAAGGCCATGTACTTATTCTGGTATTTATTCTTGTTGACAGCCATCTCAACATCCTTTGTAGAGATTACAACTTTTTCTTGTTCATCAGTGTGTTTTTCCTTATATCTTGGAGCATATTTCCTTCCTTGTATCCCGCAAGTTTTGACATAATCAACCTTCTTCCTTCATGGTTATATCTTAGAGACTTCTCTTGTTCCTTCTTCTTTAAGTCTTATTGGTGGGTTCTAAGGGTCTCAAGTTCTTCTTTCCTTCTTTCCTGTAAATACAATTTTTTTTTCATTGGCTTGAATCCACATCATTCCTTGCTAGGGCATTGAAAATCTCTTCCTTTTGACCATTAATCTTCTTTGGGTCTCTTAATCCTTTTATTAGATCCCTTAATCCTTTCTTGGGTACCTTAAACTTACCCGAATATCTCTTAAATCTTACTTGGTCTCTTACAAATTCTCCCCCTTTTCAAGACTTTCATCTTCGAAAGTTCACTTTTCTTACCATGCCTTGGAGGAATTCTTGGTCTTAGTTAAGTCCATCCAAGTTCCTTGAGGGTCCTTGCATGGGTTTGTCCTTCTCTGACATGTTTTTCTAATTTTCCCTCGTGGCCTTTTGTTTTGTCTAAAGTTCACGTACTTAATTTGGTATTTGTCCTTGTTGACTATCATCTCAACGATGTTGAGATTACCGTTTTTCTTAGCCATCCTTGTGTTTTTCCTTATATATTGGAGCATATTTCCTTCCTTGAATCCAACAAGTTTTTATATAATCAACCTTCTTCCTTTAAGGTTGTATCTTAGAGACTTCTCTTATTCCTTCTTCTTCCAGACTTATTGGTGGGTTCTTAGGGTCTTAAGTCCTTCTTTCCTTCTTTCCTTGGAGTAAATACAATTTCTTTTCCAATAGCTTGAATCAACATAATTCCTTGCTAGGGCATTGAAAATCTCTTCCTTTTGCCCATTAACCTTCTTTGGGTCTCTTAATCCTTTCTTTGGCACCTTAAACTTACCTAAGTATCTCTTAATCTAACTTGGTCTCTTACAAATTCTCTCCTTTTTAAAAACTTTCGTCCTCAAAAGTTCATTTTTCTTACCTTGGGGGAGTTCTTGGTCTTAGTTATGTCCTACCAAGTTCCTTGAGGGTCCTTGCATGGGTTTGTCCTTCTCTGACATGTTTTTCTAATTTTCCCTTGTGGCCTTTTGTTCTGCTTTAAGACCATATACTTATTCTTGTACTTGTTCTGGTTGACTGTCATCTCAACATCCTTTGTAGAGATTGCAAGTCTTTCTTGGTTATCCTTGTGTTTTTCCTTATATCTTAGAGCATATTTCCTTCCTTGTACCAACAAGTTTTGTCATAACAAACTTCTGTCATCTCAACATCCTTTGCAGAGATTACAAGTCTTTCTTGGTCATCCCATTATTTTTTTTATAGCAAGTTTTGTCATAATCAACCTTCTTCCTTCAAGGTTGTATCTTGGAGACTTCTCCTGTTCCTTCTTCTACAAGGCTTATGGTGGGTTCTTAGGGTGTTAAGTCCTTCTTTCCTTCTTTGTTTGGAGTAAATAGAATTTTTTTTTTGAAACCTTTTTCAATAAATCCACATAATTCCTTTTGCCCATTAACCTTCTTTAGGTCTCTTAATTATTTTGTTAGATCCTTTAATCCTTTCTTGGGTACCTTAAACATATCCGAGTATCTCTTAATCTTACTTCGTCTCTTACAAATTCTCCCTCTCTTAATAACCTTCCTCCTTTAAAGGTCACTTTTCTTACAATGCCTTGGGGGAGTTCTTGGTCTTTGTTATGTCCTTCCAAGTTTCTTGAGGGTCCTTGCGTGGGTTTGTCCTTCTCTGACATGTTTTTCTAATTTGCCCTTGTGACCTCTTTTGTTCTGCCTTAAGGCCATGTACTTATTCTGGTATTTGTTCTTGTTGACTATCATCTCAACTATCCTTTGTAGAATTACAAGTCTTTCTTGGTCATCCTTGTTTTTTCCTTATATCTTGGAGTATATTTCCTTCCTTGTACCCAACAAGTTTTGACATAATCAACCTTCTTCCTTCAAGGTTGTATCTTGGAGACTTCTCTTGTTCCTTCTTCTACTAGGCTTATTGGTGAGTTCCTAGGGTCTTTAAGTCCTTCTTTCCTGCTTTTCTTGGAGTAAATACAATTTCTTTTTCGAACCTTTTTCAATGGCTTGAATCCACATAATTCCTTGCTTGGGCATTGAAAATCTCTTTCTTTTGCCCATTAACCTTCTTCGGGTCTCTTAATCCTTTTGTTAGATCTCTTAATCCTTTCTTTGGCACCTTAAATTTACCCCCGTATCTCTTAATCTTACTTGGTCTCTTGCAAATTCTCCCCCTTTTAAAAACTTTTGTCCTCGAAAGTTCACTTTTCTTATCCGGGGGAGTCTTAGTCTTAGTTATAGCCTTCCAAGTTCCGGAGTCTTAGTCTTAGTTATAGCCTTCCAAGTTCCTTGAGGGTCCCTGCACAGGTTTGTCCTTCTCTGGTATGTTTTTCTAATTTGTCAGTGTGGCCTTTTGTCCTGCGCATAAGGCCAAGTACTTATTCTGGTATTTGTTCTTGTTGACTGTCGTCGTTGAAATTACAAGTCTTTCTTAATTGTTGTGTTTTTCCTTATATCCAAACTTATCTTCCTTCCTTACCTACATAACCATCAAACTCAAAAAATCCAAAAGATTATCCTTTATCTCACTTGTAGACTAAAAAACAATTAAACTTTTCTTGAGCACCAGTTAAGCATAATCTTTATTCTAGTGCTTCCTTCCTCTGAAATTTAACAAACCTCTTTTTGTGATCTCTCATTCCTCCATTCAAAAGTTTTTCGCTTTTCAATTGTCCTTAACTCAAATCCTTTCCTACCTTCTTATGGTATAATACATCTTATTCCTTGATTAGAACTTTCCAATTTCCAATTGTCAATTTGAATATGTAACCCCAATTCTACCACTGTACACATAATGTTTCCTCCTTTATGTGCATAATACCTAGTGTTATTTTTTCATTTAATTCATCATGGAAAGTCATCTCCCCTCATCTTAATGACTCATCCAATTTACAAATCTTTACAACCCATTTTTCTCATTTGCCGTAAAACAAACGTCCTTGCTTAATTCCTTGATCATTATCTCTAATTCAACTCTTTAGACAAAAAGGAATTCTCCACTTCAGAATAGACTCTAGTGTTGTACCTCTTGTAATGACCAAGGATCTAGAACATCTCTCCTATGGTCTTGCCCAGCCTTGTAGTTCCATGGTGGAAGAGTTTCTTCTTCATCCCTTCTTGAAAACGGATAAAGAAGAGATTATTTAAAGCAATTTTATGGAATTTTTATGTTGAAAGAAACAATAGGAATTTCAAAAGGATTGGAAGACCTTGGGGTGCAGTGTAACCTTATAGATCACGCCTCTGTATGGTATGGGAGAGTGTGTACAATTTTTTGTAATTACCTTTAGATCTTTATTTTGTTTGATTGGAGTATCTTTTTAGGTCAATTCGGCTTTTGGGGATATGACACCCGTTTCTTTTAAACTATCCTTTAGGTCTTATTTTGCTTGATTTGAGCACCTTTATGGGTCACTTGGGTTCCTCTTGGGATGGCTTTCTAGTGTTCCTCTTGTATTCTTTTATTTGATCTCAATGAAAGCTTCACTTTCATTTTTTTTTTTTTTAAAAAAAAGGATCTATCCATAGCTACCTAAAAAGCTTAGAAAACAAAAGATGTAATTTAATTCCTTACTCATGAACCTCCTTCAAATTTAAGATTCATTACAATCCTTTAGTGTAGTTTAATCATTTACTCTTAGAAATAAAAACATGATATAGGAAGCACAAAGAACATAAAAAAAGGAAAGCAAAGACATAATAAAAGTTAAACGTAGGAAATCTAACCTTATTAGGACCACAACATTGCCAAAAATGTAATTCCTGCAAGAACCAGACCGGACATATGGTAGTTCATGATGTCAAATCACCAAAGTGTATACATGATGTTGGTTATGATTGTTTGTGGGAGTTTTTTAGAGGGTAATATTAAGGTCGCTTTGTAGAAGCAAGAGGGTATCTTTTTGTTTTTTCTGAATTGTAGCTTGGTTGAGCATTGAGGAGAGGTGGGAGCTCTGAAAACTCCCTTGGCATTGATAAAATAGTAAATATATAATTCAAGTTCTACCAAAAACAAGCTAAAAAAATTTTAGTGTGCCAAAAACTTGTTCTATACTGAAAGGAAACTTGTTCGATTTTCGTTACAGGATATTTGCCTCAGTTGGAATGCCTTCTTATATCCTTTGTAGCTTCTTTTGACCACTGGATCATTTTCTTTTGTTCACTTAATTATTTTTGAACCTCTAAATAAGAATTGCCTCTGAAGTTCTCTTGTGAACCCCTAAATTTAAATAGCCGGCTGTACCCTTAAAATTTCAAACCCAGAACAACGACCCAACTACCCATAAAACTAAAAGGCTGAAAACGAAATTTGAAGGCAATCGGAGGAGGAGAGAGCAGAATCATCACTGTACACATAAAATTTCAAACTCAGACCGGCGACCAAACTACCCATAAAACTAAAAGTCTGAGAACGACATTTAAAGGCAATCAGAGGAAGAGAGAGCAGAATCATCAATGTACCCTTAAAATTTCAAACCCAAAACAGCGATCAAACTACGCATAAACTAAAAGGCTGAAACGAAATTTGAAGGCAATCATAGGACGAGAGAACAGAGTCATTACTGTACCCTTAAAATTTCAAACCCAGAACAGCGACCGAACCACGCATAAAACTAAAAGGCAGAATGAAGGTACTTCACCTCTATTTTTCATCACCGAGACGAGGCGAGAAACTTCTTTCAGTTCTGCTCTCTCTTCCTCCGATTGCCAGGTAACAATCTAGCGTTTGGTTTGGGCAACGAACACTCGGAAGGGAAGAGGGCGTTGATGGAGCGCTGTGATTCTAATGTGAGAATGTGCTGAAGATGAGAGTGTGAGTGCGGGAGAAATATATAAGCCCGAGTGGAATAAGCGGGGGCCGAGACAGCTGGCACCCGAGAATGGCGGGTAACGGCTCTGAAGTCCGTTATGACTTTGACCGTGGAAAACCGTCGACGATATGAACGTTGAAGGTTATATTTCCGAACCTAACAAAACCCTTGTCGCCGGAGAAAACGAATGAAAGAAAAAATGGAGACCAATGACGTGGCTCTAATTTCTAACTTTTATTTATTTTTATTATTATTAATACTATTACCTTTTTTTCTAATTTCTTTTAATATATTAATTAGTTGAAGTAGATCCCAAATATATTGATTCTTTCAAATATATTGATTCTTTCACCTCTGCTCTAACCAATAATTTGTAGATATGAATAAGAAATCTAAAGGTTTATTTTTTACTTTATTTAGGGGTACTCGCTATTTTTTTAATTCAATGAGTTCAATCCGATTTAAATTAGAATTATATAATATGTGGTTAAAAAAAACAGGTAATCAAACTGATTTGATTTCATAAATTTCAATGTTGAGATAGATTTTGAAATATAAATATTTCAAATATAAACTCTCACCATAGCCATGTAATAATGATGAAGTTTTATACTCAAAATAGGGTACATAACATTAGCTTGCATTGCAAGATATATAGCAAGATATATAGTGTACAATTGCAGTTAATTATTATTGTAATCTAACCTATTAACTAAATCCAAAAGAAAAACACAAGCAATATAGAAAATAAGAACTTATATGATCAAACACATAATTAAAGAAGAAAACACAAGTTAGAAAAATCCATTTAGAAGTGAAACAACTCCCTTTCGCATCATCTATTGCCGAGACTGTGAAGGTTAGAGTAGGCAAATAACATGAACAAATCTAACAACCAAAGGAAGAAGAAGAAAAAAAAACAAAGTAAGTAAAAAATCAAATCAAAAGATGCTAAAATGGGTATTCAGCCTTTTTGAGGAGCAGCATTAACTTAAAAACTTACTACAACCACTACTCTTGTAATCCTCTTACTTTTGTATCCTCAAGAGGATTACAAGAAGGATGCAAAAGGACCAAGTAGTTGGTGCAGTTTTGTTACCAGGGGATTTTTGGCTTCCCTTACTGGAAAGAGGTGCGCCAAGGCCGGCTTCATCGGAGGGAGAAAGTATCCAAATACGAAACGTCAGCTGACGATGCAGGAAGGGCAGCTCAGAAAGAGTGTTGTGGGATGAAAGCAGTGAGTTCCTCCCAATCCAAAGACTCTATGTTTGGGGACATGACTGCAGCGCCAACAACTAGAGCGATGACGATAAGAGCCATACTTTTGAGACGTCCATGGCCTCCTGAAACCCTGTTCAGTAGTGCCTAGATTCTGAAACTTTTTAATGTTCCTCTCTAAGCTTAACGGGAATCATTTTCTTCGTACTGAACTCTGTTGCTAGACGGCTTCCCAATCTGTAAGCATCCAATTGGAGGTGAAGTAGGAGTTTTCAGTTCTCCAAATGTCTGCCAGCAGAAAGGATCATGTAAATGATACCGCTCTTGAAGTGGTTTTAGCTCTATGGTTGTCAGCGTTACATCCCTACAAGGTTGGTTGTCGCTACAGGCAAAGTGTACAGGCTTAACTGTGTAAGTCCCTCGGATTTTCTCATAATCGATTCCTGATTGAGCCACGCCTGAAGTCTGGTTACTGCATTTCGCTTTGTCGCAATAAAATTGGTCAATCACAATTGGTAATTGAACTTCGGACATTTGAATGTTTGAGAAGAGAACGTTCTGAACAGAGCCTGACCCACCCTGTAAAGGTATCATGTGCCATTCTATCAATACTCGTGGATATCCAATTCTGAACATTATAGATGACTTATGGGGCTTCCCAATTTTAGAAAAATGCAAGGTTGTCCGAAAAATAATGAGCTTGTTCATTTGGTATGAACAACATGCTTTCCATTTTAAACACAAGTACCTGCCATGTTTTGATTCTAACACCGTTCATTGTGTTATGCATTGTGACATCACGGACAGTTATGTTTGAAACACAAGCTTTTGTATTGTCCTTTCCTAGACTCCCAATGCTGATTCCATGTCCTGGCCAGCAGTTCACGTTGTGTATGTATATGTTTGAGCATCCAGTTTGAATAGAAACACAATCATCTCCTGAAGGGATCAGAATAAAGATCATCAGTCACCTGTTTATTTCAATTTTCAACTTCAAACTTCTACCTACTCGTAATCTACATTATTGTTTTTTTTTTTTCTTCTTCTATTAAAACCAATGTTCAAAATTGTTGAGTATTTCAACTTGGCCTTTATAACTAATGGTTGCAAATTGCTGCAGTGAAAGACTCTTATGTCTACTGACAAGAAAGGTTATCATATTTTAAGTAAACATTTAGTATTTTTTCCATCAAATGCTCCTTTTAAATAGTCGTAACGATTGAGTGTTGAGTGCTCAGTTTATCTCAAGACATGCACACCCTTAGCCCTTACTGAGCACCGCCCATTTAAGTAGATAATATTTAACAACAGGATCAAGTGGTTGCAAGTGACGTAATTACCACAAGATAGACTGGTGCTGTGGATTAGAACGTCTTTGGAGTTTTGCAAGTGAATTCCATCAGTATTAGGACTGTTTCCAGGAGATGAGACGCTGATATCATGCACCAGGACTCCCACGCAGTTGTCAAACTTAAGGTGGCATTGGGGGCTGTTTTGGATTGTTATGCCCGTGACTGTAACATTGAAGCTTCCATAAAACCTTAGTGCCTGCGTAACATAACATTTCATACAACTCCACAGGGTGAGGATGATGGGGCCATAATGAAATCATCTTAGAAGTTTATCAGTAAGTGATCCCTTACAGTTGGCTTGATGCTGGGAATTTTGCCTTCTAGATTGCTTCCTACCTGCCACATATTTTTTAGTGAATCACGTTCATTTTCCTTCTCTATTTGCAGCTAGAAAACTGAATATTGTGGAGGAAAAGATCAGTATAGATAGTGTTCATTACCGGCGTTGGTTTTGCTTCATCTCTGGTCTTGTTCATGGGGATAATGAGTTTCATCTCGTCGTCTATAGGCTCATCAAAGGAGGAATCTTGCCACCAGACGGATCCTCTTCCGTCGATTATGCCACTTCCCCGTATGGTAACCCCTATTAGCTTTGTAAATTGGATCCATTGCAAGAGACCTTTCCCCCAAGTTCGGTGATCAGTGGGAGCCATAATGGTTCCATCCAGCTGCAAATCAAGTTTAATGAGCTAATATAATATTGTCAACATCCTAACTATGAGTAGTTTAGTTCTGGCTGGTTACCCTTGAAAGGGATACTTTAATTTGGGGGAACCGTGCTTCTGGGTACGATAATGTTTACCTGAAATACAATATCTGGTTGGCAATATGGGCCAGAGAAGGAAATGGGTCCTACGAAGAACACATAGTCTGCCGGAACCATGACCGTCGATCCCTCCACCTTACAAGCGGCTACCCAAGCGTCTTCAAATGCCTGGAACGGATCGTGCAAATATTTTCCAATCAAAATCATTCCTTGATGGTATTCCATTTATTCAAGAAAACTGCCATAACTAAATTATTTTCTATTATTGGCTGTGGGTCCCGCCGGCTCTGGTTGTCGGTCTGAAGACCGGCTCGCCCTTGGGAGTGAGGATTTTAAGCTGGTCTTTCAATACAAATGATGATATGCACTATTACTATTATTATTTGTAGCACCAAAATTATCCACTTAGGATAATTAAGATATCTTCTTGAAGTTTCTGAAAGTAACAACAAGTAACATAAAATCAATTGTTTGTAGTTGTTGGAATACAATCCTTTTGCAATGACAAAATTCTGTTGGATATCAAACTCCAAGTATTTCTATAGAAGAAGAGTGATTGAACGTACCTTAGTGTCATCAGACTCTCCATTGCCTTTAGCACCAAAATCTAGAACGTTGAATATGACAGAATCGCTACCCTTGTAGCCTTTCTTGGGTGGAGTTGGAATGATCTCTTCTTTTGGTTTAGGAGGAATTGGAGACGAAGGGGAGGCATTGTGTGACGGAGGAGCTTTTGGGTTGGAGCCACTGACATGGTGGCTCTTGCTACCGCCATGACTGCCTTTCTTCTTTGATAGAGAAGCCGAGGTCTGCCTGCTCTGTCTCCAGTGTTTTCCTCTCCTTGCAGTGCAGCCTTCAAAGTTTGAAGACCAAACAAGAAAAGCTATAAAAACCGAAAGTGTTAAGGTTTTGGAACTCATCCCACTCCTCACTTTTAGTGTAAATGTGGGAAGGCAGGGAGAGAGAGAGAGGTAGTGTTCTTTTGAGATCGGCAAAGCAAGTGGGAGCTGAAGTGGGGTTAAATAGGTAGCGACTCCGTAATCTTCAGGAGACTGTGCAGACAAAGGCTAGCCAACATATCAATTTGTTAATGGCAGGCTTTTAATCTTTTCATTGCCCCCCCTCCCTCTCTCTGTTTTTCCTGCCGTCTCCCTTTTATTAATTAGGAAGCTTTCCTTTTAGTGAATTCTGGTAGGAATTGATTAGTTGAAAAACAGCGACATGGCCTTTTGGCTACATGCTAATATGTCATTACATGTGACTCATCCAGTTGCCTCTTAAAAACTCATCTTAAATCAGCCATCTGCATATGCTCCCGCAGCCTTACTCTATTTCCCTCTTCTTTTACCTTAACACTGCCTTTTCTTACATCATAAACAAAATCTTTCCGTGTAATTGTAACTGTATATACATTTTTACTACATCTTCTCTTCTTTACAAAAGCTTTTATTTGCCTCCAAAACTGGATAGAAAAATGAAAATGAAGCTCGTGTTCACCTCTGTTTGGGCTATGCTTTCGGGGTTCAATCATCTCTTTTCTTCTCCTTTTTTTCTTTCCCTGCCATTAACTACAAACATTCAAAAGGCTCTGTTTTGCCTGGATTTGCTTCTCGTATTATTTCCAATCTCTCAAAACAGGCAGGAAGCGCGAGCGCGCAAAGCATGTTAAAAGTAGTTGAAAAAAAGAATGTGGAAATCCAAATCCAAATCCAAGTTAAACAAGTAACGTGAAACAAAAGAATGTGGAAATCCAAATCCAAATCCAAGTTAAACAAGTAACGTGAAACAAAAGAATGTCGAAATCCAAATCCAAATCCAAGTTAAACAAGTAACGTGAAACGAAAGAATGTCGAAATCCAAATCCAAATTCAAAATCTTAGCATGGGGCATTAAGATGCTAAATCAAACTTAGGAGAAAATTGGGATTCTTTCATTTGGGAAACCTACAATATATAAAAATAAAGCGAGAGAGTGTACAATATGTGTGTGACTGTTGAGGGATCCCCTTCAATCTGTTATTGTTTATACCTAATCATATATTCATTTAGTTGAAAGGCCACCTTTGTACCGTATGAACACCCAGGAGAGGAGAAAAAACTGAAGACAAAGAAATTATTATTTGAGCCGTCTTTTTGTGGGCGTGAACTTGCTTTGCAACTGTTCATACCCCCTAGTTTAAATCTTTTCATGGTTCTCTCGTCTTTTCCTTTCACCCCAGCATCATATAGAATTTGGTAGAAAATTTAGCTGAAAGTTTCACGAGACCTAAGTGGGCAGAAATTTGAAGTCATCAAAATTTTAACCATTTTGTTTCATCAGTTCACTGACAAAACAAAACGCAAGTGAAAATTCCCAAACTTAGTCAAAGAACCCTCAAGGTTGCATCTACTTTTAATCTATCCTTCATTTACAAGTATTTGTTGTTCTTGAGCCTTAAAGCAAAGTTTTATGAAGATGTTGTTGTTGCAGTATAAATCTAGTTTTTATCGTTGTTAAGTTGGTAGCCAACAAGGTCCCTTCAAGCCTGTTTCAATGTTGAGTTACTTGAATTTCAGTAGAGTCGTCTCTAACTCTCTTCAAGCCAAAAATACCATTGGTCTTTTGATAGTAATAAATTCTTTCACTTTCAATTGCATTGCATGTCCATTCGTGTACTTGGTAAGCTCTCTTGGTTTTACTTTTGATTTCTCCGTTAAAAACTTATACCAATGAACACATATTTCTTACTTATAAACCCATGATCATCCCTTTAATTAGCCAATATAGGACTCCCTCTTGACAATCCTCTCCTCGAACAAAGTACACCCTTTATTCGACACTTGAGGATCCTATTAACATAGCTAAGTTAAGGGCATGACTCTGATACCATGTTAGAAACCATGAACCTCCACGATTGTATGATATTGTCCACTTTGAGGATGAACTCTCGTGGTTTTGTTTTTTCATTTCTCTAGAAGGCCTCGTACCAATGGAGATATATCTCTTACTTATAAACTTGTGATCATCCCCTTAATTAGCTAATATAGTACTCCCTCCCAACGATCCTCAATAATGGCCTGGTCGAACAAAAAAGTCATTTCCATTATTTATGGCTAAAAACACTGTCAATATTCTAATATTCAATGCGTGTGATCAACCTTTCAGTTCGTAAGCTAGAGCGGTCAGTCACTTAGCCCCGTTGACAACTATTAGACAGTTCTATGTTTATGCAGTATGTAGTTAACCATTTTGTATTAGCAGCCCTACGTGGAATGAGTTAATCCATTCTAGTTGAAGACTGTGCTTCAATTTAAATCCATTTTCCACCACGCCACACAGCCAGGCATACTGTCACAGACACCAAATTTCCTAGTATAAAAATTTAACAAGTACAGGGACCTGCTCACCATTTGCTTCCTGAACCACCAATGGCACCAAGTCACAACATGCAAATCCAGCTGAGAGAAGAAGCTTGAAGCCTGCAAAATAATGGCAACATCTTCGAGCTTCGAGATCCACCAACGACTTCGCAATTTTGCTTCCAATCGTTTCATTTCTATGCATTCTACAGCTTCTTAATATGGAGCTCCAGATCTACACGAACAGTACTGCCGGTCTGGTTCAACTCGGTGAAGAGTTTTCAACCTTCTTATCCTCCCTTCAGATATTAACTTATCAAATATAATATTTTAACTAATCAATTATGTCAAAAATGAACTCACCAATTACCTTCATATATCTTTCTTATACGGAATATAAATTCATATAATCTGTATACTCAATTTTTTAATTCATAAATTTGAACTTTAAATTCAAATATTATGTTCCAAAATTTCTCGACCGTCCGATGTGAAAATCATCCAACGGTGAGGGCGAGTATTCAAATACGCTGTTTCTATAAGTGCCTGGCTTACATTTGGCAACAAGAACCAACCCCTTTCGATCGGGAAGCCGCTATCTGCATCATAATCGCCTTGCCGTGTTTGGAGTTGAAGAATTAAGACCGCTATGGGGAAGCAACCGGTCCGGATGAAGGCTGTGATCTACGCTTTGTCGCCGTTCCAGCAGAAGACCATGTCAGGGTTATGGAACGACTTGACCGGCAAGATTCACCATAAGATCTCCGAGAACTGGATCAGTGCCGCCCTTCTAATTACCCCCGTCGTCGGCACCTACACGTAATTTTTCATCTCCTTGTTCCTTTTCATATTTTTCTTATTTTTGGAATTCCGAATTTAGGGTTTGCTTCTTGTTGATTGGTTTTTTCCCTTCATGGTTCAATCTAATATCAATCTAAAAAGGAAAAAAAAAAAAAAAAACAAGTCTTCAATTGTTTCTCAATAAGCTTGGTAGGTTATTCTTTTCGTAACACCTGGTCGGGTCTAATTTAGATGAGATATCTCTTAATCAGATTCGAAGTGGAAATACACAATTCCACCGACGTGGAATTCTTGTAATCATTTGGTCTTCTCTGAACTTAGCGTGTTCAATATTTCCTTCAAAGCTATCATCATTTTAATATTCATACGAAATTTTGTACTGGAACTGATCGCGAACAGTTGACAGGGTGCATCTTATTGATTGATTGTTTCATCTATTGGAATGGAATAAAAACCTTTTTTTTTTGGGTGGGTGGTAGGCTAACCCGTGATGATGTTATTGTCCTGAACTGCAAGTGTTCGCTTCTGTTTAGAAAAGGCATCGCTTCACTTGATTGAATTGTTCCCAGGTCATATCAATCAGATTTGCAATTACTCGTCCACCATCTGTGTGTGTTATAATAACCTTCAATTACTTTGATCTATTTTTAGTTCATGCTATTTTATCATTGAAGAGATAGGTTGGTTCTGTTGTGCACAGGGTGGAACTTTTATTTTTTGCTACATATTAAAGAATTGAGATTAAGAGGTACCTTCCCCACATGCAAGATTGAGAAATTGGATGCGGGCAAGAGGTTTAAAACTGAGTAAAATCAATTTGGATGATACCGGGATGCCTAATTTATGCTTTCTATTTTCTAAGTGAGAAGTAAGAATGGCATCGTTGTATTTAAGAATGATGAAACGTTGTATTTAAGAATTTTTAGCGCTAGATTGGATGGAACTAAAGTTTCCCTTTTCATCTGAGGTCCCCACCATGCACCAACATACGAAAGATATTATTTTGTTTTAGCTTTGATTTAAGCTTCGTTTGCATAAGATAAATGACTTGTATTAGTTGATTGATTGGTGGAAAATGGGGTCTTGGTGGATGAACATGTGCAAATATATGTTTCACTTGTGAACTTGCTTTTGTTCGATTTAATGTGGACGTCCCTTGCATTGAAGATATCATATCTGCAAATGGATGTAGGTACGCGCAGCAGTTCAAGGAGAATGAAAAGTTATCTCACAGGTACTGAAAGGGGGCCTGATTCCTGCATTTGGCATCTACTTTGAACAACTTTTGAACTTCGGACTTTTTCGTTATACAAATGGAGCTCTGGTTTCTTAGGCTATGAGGTTGTGCTTTTATTTTCAGGAAAATTTCCTCGCTTGTTTGTTGGAATAAATTACAACATTTGTTATCATGTGAATGATGGCTGTTATAAAATGATCAGCATTGGGAAAATTTTCCCTGCAGTCTTCTCAATACCAACCACCAACCAACAAGACTCCTTATCATTAGGTTCACCTCTTTTCAATATTTTCCTAATTTGTGAACCCACCAAAGTATTGAAACTTGAATTAATTCAATATGTACTTTTTAAACTAGGAATTCAATATGTACTTTTTACACTAGGAGAGGTGCATGAATGAATCATAGGAGAGGTGCATGAATGAATCATATCACAATAAAATGATATTAACTTATATTTAATAATATACCTTTTTTTTTTTTTGGTGGTTTAACAAAATTCTAGACTAGTTTGTGAGAAGAGAAGTGGCTGCGAGATCATAATAGATAGGTCGTTTTCTTTTTACTCCGCACCATCTTCCACTGGGATTCGGTGATCTCAAGGGAGGAGGCGTGGAGAGCTATCCAACAACACATTGGAGAAATGAGCACGAGGAATGGGTGAGTTTTCATTGAACTTGATTTGAAGATGGTGCGGCTTAGCGTCCAAGATAAACCAAGCGTGGGCTATTTTATGTTAAAAACATGAGTAACTAGTGAATCTTGAAAAGTAATTTTGTTCTATCACATCTATGATTATTGGGTTGCACTTCTAATTCATGGATTGCAAGCAAACTCACGGTTTTCTCCCAACTAATTGTTTTCTGTTGCATTAGATATTATTCCTCCAAAAAGGTGGATGGAACAATTTACCTGATAATAAAGAGTACACGAAACCCCTCTTCAAAAGATTGTCTTAAGAACTTATACCGACAGAAGCAAATAATGAATCTATCAACCAATTAAACTAGAGTTAAGGGGAAAATGCAGGTATATATCACACATACACAAGGATAAAAGATTTTCTTTTCCTCTTTGGTAAGATTATAATTTAGGACAAGTACACTTGGATACCAGCCGTTTTGATCAACTGACAGACAGGACAGACACTTACAAGTCCATTGCAATCTTTGCACAAACATAAATGTCTACAAGGCATGAGTAGGATGGAAACCTCTTTTGCCTTGCATGCTCTGCAGATCATGCGCTCCTTGAAACCTGCTAAATTCCTGGTTGTGGATCTCATAGTTCCACCTGGAACACTAAGGTAATTGTTTGAATCAACGTGTGAAGCAGCATCATCCACTTCACTGTCTCCAAATCCTTCCTTCGCTTGGTCCGCACCCTGTGAGATAACGTGCTGAAGGTTGCTTTTCAGGACGTTTACGACTGATTCATTGTACTTCGCTCTGCACTGCCAATTCTGGGCTTCAGTGCCAACCTGCTTTATTCTCTCCACTAGTTCCCTATTTTTACAGTTCATGTTCTCAATTTCTACATCCTTTTCATGTAGTTTCTTTCCAATGCCTTTCTCGATCGCATTAACAAATGAAGCCATATGTCTTTGCTTCATCTCCCTAATGCCCTTTGCCAAATGTTCTTCCTGTTAGTTAGACAGATAAAAAAAATGTACATCAGATGCAATCGAATCAAACCACATTGATGGGTTTAACATGAGCACCCCGGGAGTGAATGCTATATAGAGCAATCCAAATTTCATGAACTAAATAGACTTTGACCAGAAACACATCATCATAAATGATTGGTGACAGCCTCTAATCTTCAAACTTTCAAATTTATATCTAATAGAACAATTAATTTTTATAAATTTTAAATTTGTGACACAATATTGAATGTTCTGGAACTTATTAGACACACAATTGAAAGTGGAGGGGCTTATTAGACACTTCTAAAAATTTGGGAGCCAAACAGACAAACCTTAAGAATTCAGGGACTAAACCTGTAATTAACCTAAATTATTTTAGTTTTATTCCGATGCAGCATGCACTCTTGTAAAAATATCCAGAAGAGGAGAAAGTGAAGTACCTGAATTTTAATATATTGATCCAGTTCTTCCTTTTGTCTATCAATCTCGATCCTGAGATTATCACCCAGAGAAAATATGATAGAAGGTGCAGCTGTCATGCTTCCACTTGCAGTGGTAACAGAGGAGTTGTGCTCATCATCATCATACGATAGCCTTAAACCTGTTGATACAGCATTTGGGTTTATAATGCTTGCTGGACGATCAGCATCATCTTGACAAGCATTATAATCTAAGGAAATCTGAAGCTTCTGCTGTCTTGAGAAATCTTCTATTTCCCTACTTCTTTTGTTAGGGCGAAGCATATGAGCCATTTGCTCGTTTCCAAAATAATTTACAGGCTCAATTCCACAGCTTACGGGCACTACAATATAAATCGTGAATTCTATGAGAGACGAGACAACTAAAGAACAATAGTTCTGATCAATTGTCCACGAACTGATCAGACTTGTATTGCAATTCAAATACTTTTTATTTATTTTTTTGGTTGCAAAAGTTGAAATCAGATTTCTTGGAAACAGAAAAACAACTAACGATTTCCAAATAACTGCAGCTGACCAGAAGCATTAGTTTGATATTGAGTTCGATTTTCATCTAGGAAAACGGGAAGCATGGCATTGCCATTGTCGCCACCCAACATTTTCTCCAGAACAGAGGTGATGAACTTCAGATGATGTGAAGTTTAAAATACCGATAGTACGGAGGGTTCACTGCCTGCAAAAGGGGGCAGCGTTTTAATAACAAATTTCAGGGATAGAATAAATGATAAGGAAAAGGACAATAATAATGAAACATTGCGTAGACATTGAACCGCTTCAATCTCAAATTATTTTAACTCTGGGGGATGATGGGGTTAATTGAAAAACAACGGACAAAATAAGAGGATTCAATCAATCAATTTGCAAAAATTCCATAAGTTTACAAACAAACTTGGCATTGTCACATAAGGTCTTCCATCGAAGTCATCCCGAATATAATATAACAATAGTGGTCTTACAGGCTCAACATATCCTATTAGAACACTGGGTAAAATAATCCATGAGTTCACTTAATTCAGTATATGAATCTACAATACTGGGATACCAATGATCTTCCAAAATCCAGCAATCCATAACATTTACTTAGAATTAGAATCTATCCAGGTGAAAACGGGATGCGAGAAACTAGCCATCATCATGGTTTCCTTGAAAATATTGATAGCAGAAAGTCAAACATAAACATCAAATTCAGAGCAAGCACGAATTTGAGACATGACACTAGAAGGACATCAGAGCAGAAGAAAATCCCAGGAGTTGTATCTAAAACCCACATCCAGATAGTGAGAAGAACATCAACAGGGATAGGAGATTATGTAAAATCTGAAGCGCGTGGTTGTCTGAATCAGAAAAGAAAGGGAGACTGATGAACAAGTTTGACCGGAATCGCGTAATGAAGATGAAAAGGAGATTATGTAAGAAAGGAAGGGATGATGTAGCAATTCGAGAAAGAAAAAGGTGGCGTTGAGATGATGAGGCAGAAATTTGATTAGGAAGAGGGAGAGGCAGGAGTTGAAGAAGGATGCAAAGAGAAAGTAAAAGGCATGGATAGAGGTTACCTGAAGAAGAAGTCAAGAGTATGAGATATGATGTCCAGATCCTGGCATACAAGAATCCGCACAGATTTATGGCAGTAATTGGGAAAATAGAATACCTGTAGAAATATAAAGAGGGAGGAGGAGGAGGAGGAGGATGGGGAGGGTTTAACCGAGGAGGAAGAAACAGATGAAGAAGAAGAAGAAGATGAAGAATTGTAGGAGGAGATATGGAGAGGAGAGAAATTGTAGGGAGGTAGTGCGGTGGGAGTGGAAAATTGATTAGAATGAAATGAATGAATCGGTGGTAGTGGTTACGCAAACCGATTTCCGTTCCTTTTTTTTTCCTTTTTCTCAGTTATTTTCATTTCCTTTTTCTCAATTATTTTCATTTTATTATTTTCATCCTTCTTTCCTTTTTCTCGATTATTTTCACCATATTTCGTCCTCTTCAAATCCATCAACCAAGGAAGGATATTGAATGCTTTTCACCATATTTCGTCCTCTTCAAATCCATCAACCAAGGAAGGATATTGAATGCAACGCCTAACACGTGGCTTCACAAAGGTATTCAAAATATATTCACAATACAATGCCAAACATTCCATAAAACCATCTTTCTTTACGCAATTCAATTACATTTATGTCGCACTCGGCTGATTCAGAGGGGGACCACAAATCCAACTCAACTTTGGGCCATTGCCCATTTCCAAATGGGCCTGCACGTCAAAGCCCAAAATAAAAAATACATATTTTAAAAATTGATTTATAGGAACACCCTTTCAGAGCCCCGGAGAGTTGAACGTGAATCTGCAGGTGAGGTAGCGTCGGAACGACCCGGAGACCAGCGCAGGAAGCGACAATGATCATCCCTGTGCGTTGCTTCACCTGCGGAAAGGTAAGCCATCCAGAATCATCTTCAATTTCACCTAACATGTCTTCTACTTACGCTTCTATGTGGAAGTCGCTTCTGAGAATTGGTTTTCTTTTTCTGTTTTCTATGTATTGTCGTATGTACAAATGCTTCGGTTTGTCTCAGCTCTTAAAGCGACATGGTTTATATTTTTTCAGGTGATTGGAAACAAATGGGATCATTACCTCGATCTTCTACAGGCTGACTATTCCGAAGGGTGAGGAAGGATCCCTTTTTTCTTCATTTCTTTTCCCGTGATCCTTTGACCTTGCTATTGAGATGCTAGTGTATATTTTTCTCATATTAGGGATGCACTTGATGCACTGGGTTTGGTTCGTTACTGCTGTAGGCGAATGCTCATGACTCATGTTGACCTTATTGAGAAGCTTCTTAATTACAATAGTAAACTCTCTCTCCCTCTCTCCCTTCCTTTCTGAAATCTCATGTTTGAGTTGTTAGATTGCTGAATTCAATCTATTTACACCAAAATTGCTTTCTGTTTCAGCCCTGGATAAGTCTGATACCAGTTAGGCGGGGGAGAAGTTATATGCTTATTCATGTGCATCCGACAGTATTGACGTTTTATGGTGTCTGAGTCAAGTTAAGAGAAAAGAAGAACTTTAGGAAGATTCAGTGCAGGACTACTCGAGTTAAGCTATATCTTGGTGTCCCAGTTTGTTTACTTGTTGATTATACGAACCCAACTATTTAATCTTCAAGTGTTTACTACTTTTAGGAGTTATTTATCAGAACCATGTACTTATCCATGTCAAAATTTAGTCTTTAGAAATGTGTGGTTACTAGTTACTAGTTAGGTTTGCTGGCGTTCGCTTAACTGGCTTTGTGGAATGCTGTCTCTAACTGCATTGTTGCATCTACAATCCTATTAATATAATTGTCAGATGTTTATGTTGCGTCAGTTGTTCTAAATGGTTTTTGGTTTCTCTATGTTATTTGATGAATGTGACCAGTCATTTGACAAAAACCTAAAAGCCTTAGTTCTTTGATCTGTATCATGTTTCTCAGAATGTTTAGAAATGAAAAGAGATTGTTAAAAAACCGATTTAGTCCTACAGTATTCTGTCTGATAGTTTCCTTTACCAAGGATGAATTCAAGTGGTCTCTAGACTTCACTGCCAATGAAGCTAGCTTCTCTTTTCGCTGTTCACTTTTCGAAAGCTTCCTAGCCTTCGTCTAGATTGAAGGCATCTCCTTTGTTCCAAACTTCTACCCATTGGAAATGTAATTGTCTGCTTTTCGTTTGAATTCTTCAAGTCATGTAGATCTAGACCTGCACATCGAGGTACAACTTGTTTGGTAAGGTGGAGACTGAGGTCGATGAGGACCTTCTCAATCAAATATGGTATTTGAAATCTTCCCAGAAGGTTTGAACTTAAGAAAGTTAACAAATTCGTGGTCGGCCAAATACTGCATATAATGCCGTCTTTTCTTCTTCTTCTTTGCTACGAAGAGGGAGGGTTATGTGGCTTGGCACTAGCTGAGTGGCGGTGACACCGTTCTGGTCCATGTAGCTTGAGGGCTTTTGGAGTGGTGGCTTCATTGGCAAATCTGCCATGAATGTTGAACAATTTTTGGTACTCAAGAGGATGGATTTGATTTGAATTGAAGTAATTAGAGAGGAAATCAAGAAAAAAGAAGAAAAAGAAAACTAATAGATTGCCTAACTCATCAATACACAGTCACCAAGTTAACAACCACTTCGTTTTGTATGGTTGAACTAAGAGTCGAATGACTATAAAAGTTATTTCCTAAACAGACCAAACTTGAAAGCTTTAACAGACCTCTAAATTTTAGAGCCAAAAAGTGTCTTTTGCCCAAAAGAACTCTTCTCCCGAGGATTTGGGTTAATGTTCCCTCACTTCAAAAATTTGGGCTGAAAATGTTAAAATTGGATTGTGTCAATACGAACTCCTTAGCATGATGATTATCCCAAGGAAATCACCCCCAACCTTCAACGGTCCGTTCCATTCCATTTCATGTATATGCTAAATTAGGAGACAACGTGGTGAACGAGTATACACTAAAAACTCATCCATCGTAAGGTCACAATTCAACCACCAACACCCCCTTTTAAATGAACCATAACAGTACTGCTTTTGCAATCACTGTTGTTATTAATGGAGCAGCTACCCTCTCTCTCAATGTGACACTGTGTAAGATAAGGAAGGATGAATACTGAAAAATGAAAACGGTAGATAAGGAATATATATGCTTTGTTAGCAGTGATGAGAATTCAAAGATGGGCTTGTTAAGTAATTGAGGCCGAAGGAGTTGGAGAGATTGTTTGTCAAAATCAGTGACTAAAGAAACAAAACAAAAAACAAAGAAGTTGCAAGCAATACCCATCCGTCCATCTCTCTTATCTGGTAGGAGACGAGGAGTAGCTTTCGTGTGGATTGCTTGTCCTGTTTTGGCCCTTCACTCAGATATCTGTGGATAACATTTTCTCTCTTCTTATTCTTCTTTCCCTATAAAAAAAAAATATAATAAATAAATAACCCCCGCAAATATCTTCTCCCCTTTGGCGCTTCTGAACCCTTTTGTTCTCTTCGCATTCTGTTTCTCTCTGTGTATCGATCATCAAACATTTCCTTGTTTTCCCTGTATATGTACTTCCATATCCTATTGGTTTTGTCCCATTCTGGCTATCTCATTTTTTGAGTGAACGGAGACATTATGCACCCTAACGCCCACCACTTTCTTCCTTGTTTTCACTGCCACCCCCATGCCTATATCCGGATGGTACTGCCTCTCTCTCTCTCCCTTTCACAAATGTGCACACTGCATTGCGTATACATATAGATAAATCCTTGCATTTTAGTGATGTTTAATTTATTGGTATGTAACTCTTCAGATCCAACATCTGATAGAGAGATGCTTGCTGCTTCATATGAGCCGAGATGAGTGCGTCAAGGCCCTGACTCGCCATGCAAACATTCGCCCTCTCATAACACTCACAGGTCCTCACTTTGAACAAAATAACATACCCTTTTGTTATGTATTTTCAGATCACTCTCTCAGCTTCAATCTAAGCTATTGGGTTGCGGTTGCAGTGTGGAAAGAGCTTCAGAAAGAGAACACTGAATTTTTCCGTGCATATTTGCGTACTATTCCTCCCAAGCCATTCCTGGGTACGACCCTTTTTCTGATTGCATATCATTTAGTGATTGCTCTCTACTCTTTTCTCATACGCAAGCGGTACTAAGTGGGTCATCTCAAATGGCTAATACCAAAATAGGAATATATTGTTCTTAAAATGTTTAGACTCAGTTTTACGTGATCTTAAATTTGCACCTATTTACAGCCAAATTCAGGAGGAGTGCTCCTACAATAACGAGGAGAAGACAACGTCACTGGAGATGAGGGATAATATGCAGTCTGTAATATGCTGATTAATTTATTTTCCTTGTTTCTACATATCGAGTATGAGTCCAGGGGAACTAATAATAGTGTTTAATATTATATCAATTATCCAAGTTTATAATTTGATGGATGCTTTCTTTGTAATATAATTTGATCCATTATTCGCTGAAAATTTGTTTTCATCATAACACCAACCACTACAATGTACCATATTGTTTTGGAATTATCAGGTACCAAAATGCTCGACCATTTTCCCTGCTAAAATCAGTGCTCACACTAGTTCATAATCTCCAGGAAAAAACTGAAGGAAGAGGCTTTAAAATCCCAAACTTGTTTTACAGGCTTCAGCATAAAACTCATACACAACTGCATAACGTATCCAACAATAATAGCAGACACTATTCGAACAGCCGCAAAACAAAACCTTTAAGCAATATGAAACCGTAGGGACCCCAATCATGGCAACACAGCTACTAAATGTCAACAACCTTAATTAACAAGCTAATCACTACTTCTCTGCCCAATGCACGTATATATTAAAGTAGACTTAATCCTCATCCAGCTTCATCCCAGCCTCCACAATAGAATCATATTATTCACTTCCAACACAGATGTTCATGTTTTTTTTTTCTTTGTTTCCTAAAAGGTCTCGAGATAGTACTCATTATCTATAAATTCATGAATGATCTTGGATACATCAATTATCTATTTGGCATGGTATATTATATTGTACCTTTTTGAGTCTTCAAGAAAATAAACCATCCACATTTCTCCACACCCACTTACCGACACACGCCCGCCGACTGTCTCGCCAAGGTTGCGGATTCTTTTTGAATGAGTTGTTTTTATACGATTTGGATTCTTTTATAAAAAAAAGAAAAAAGAAAAAATTGGTTTTTTTTTATATAATTTATGGCGTACACGTGGCAGCGCAGAAGTGTCGAGAACATTTCCTAAAAAAAGAAAAGATTTGATCGACCCTCCACAGAATCTTCTCCTTCCGCGGGGGATTCCGCGGCGCGTAAGAGAAGGAACAAGGAACGGCCGGTCTTGCATTCCCACCTCCGGACACATTTTCTCTGTTTAAACCATATTCACTCTCCTTGCTTTCAAACCACCGGAGGAAGCAAAGCATCTTCCTTTTCTGGAGTTTCAGTTGCAGAACGCAATTAAGTAAGCTTCCAATTACGCGCTCTTTTTCTTGCTTTTCTTTTACATGTTGATCGCCTCTCTTTCGATTCGACCAATCTAATTTTAGGAATTTCAGAATTTCCCCCCTTTTCCCCATATCGCTGCACCTCTCATCTATCATTCATTCTTCTTCACATGCTCTGAATTTTTTTTTTCTTTCTGTTTGGACCGTTCATTTTACAGTTCCCTTCAAGTTTAGATTATATTTCCAAAGATAGCTACCATCATTGTAACGAAAATTCACGATTGACTCGTCATGAGTTTCTTCGCAGGATTATCAGACCATTACTGGACGCCTGTCATGACTACTGAAACTAATACTTTAAGTTATTGGTTGAACTGGAGATTCTCTGTGTGTGCTTTGTTTCTATCAACCTTTATGCTTGTGGCAGCCCTATTAATATGGAAATATGAAGGTTCCAAAAGACGCAAACCTGGATCAACTGACCACTCACAAGATTCAGTTGGGTCATTGTATGAGGATGAACTTTGGCAGCCGTGTCTCAAACCAATTCATCCTGCTTGGCTGCTAGCTTACAGAACGCTTGCTTTTGCTGTGCTTTTCGCATTGATATTAAGCGAAACTATTGTTAAAGGAGGCCGCATTTTTCTATTTTATACTCAGTAAGTCATGTTTCTCAAGCTTGGTAATGCTAGGCTTTTGATGGTTTAATTTCTGGTTCAAATCTAGAAACACTTACATTGTGGGGATTTGGATCAGTGGCCGACTGTTCAGTAGTAACCTGTTTGTTGAAGTCCATTTGATCGCAAGTCCTTGCATCTGATATTTTCTAGTTCTTCTTAGATATCTAGTGTTAAAAACTATAAATATTTCCTGATCAGGTCACTTAGCCTTTATTTCACTCTTGCCTTATATAAGTTCGTGCAAGATGGGGGTAAAACACTTTCTCATCTTACATCAATATATTTAAGAAGATGGTATCTTTCTGAGATGTCTCCTTCATTGCCAGAGAGGTTGCAAAATTATGAAGTTGACTGTGCATGATAACCAACTTACTTGTTTCAGCTCATATTTAACAAATTAAACATCTTTAGAAAATTGATCAGATTAACATATTTATTTCGTGCAGGTGGACATTCACATTGGTCACGCTCTACTTTGGGGTATGCTTTATAACTTCAAAACCCACATCTACATGTTTGCTTCATAACCTGGTTGTTATACTTAGCTGACATTTGGTAGACACAAAGCAGGATGGTGTATATAAATATGTTATGTGCATTGGACTTAGAAAGTAGTCATGAAAATTTGTCCGCTTTTGGTGTCCTAATAGAAAAATTGTGATCCAACGTTTGATATATGTTGCATCATCTACTTATATGTGAAATTTTGTAATCATTGGCTTTTAAGGACTAGGGTAACCTGTTAGAAACCACGACTCTCCACAACGGTATGATATTGTCTACTTTGAGCATAAGCTCTCATAACTTTATTTTTTTATTTCTCCAAAAGGCCTCATACTATTGGAGATGGTATTTCTTACTTATAAACCCATGATCATCCCCATACTTAGCCAACGTGGGACCCCCTCCCAACAATCCTCCCCTCGAACAAAGTATACTATAGAGCCTCTCCTGAGGCCTATGGAGCCCTCGAACAGGCTCCCCTTAACTGAGGCTCGACTCCTTTCTCTGGAGCCTTCGAACAAAGTACACCATTTGTTTGACACTTGATTTACTTTTGACTTCACTTTCAAGGTTAGCCTCTCCTGAAACCTATGGAGCTCTCGAATTGCCTCCCCTTAATTGAGGTTTGACTCCTTTCTCTAGAGCCTCCAAACAAAGTACACCCTTTGTTCGACACTTGAGTCACTCGAACAAAATACACCCTTTGTTCGACATTTGAGAATTTTACTGACATGGCTAAGCTAAGGGCATGACTCTGATACCATGTTAGGAACCACGACTCTCCACAGTGGTATGATATTGTCCACTTTGAGCATAAGTTCTCATGGATTTGTTTTTTGCTTCCCCAAAATGCTTCATACCAGTGAAGATAGTATTCCTTACTTATAAACCCATGATCATCCCTTTAATTAGCCAATGTGAGACTCCCTCCCAACGATCCTCAACATAACCAGAACTACAACCAAACCTACCTAACATTCAATGAATTATTAAATTTTCATGGTTTAGTTTTCCATTATCTGTAAATTATTAACTAAGCTCAAATATTGCTATCTTGCAGCTTGCAACTTCATTCTCGATTTATGGTTGTTGCAGAAAAGGTAATAATAATAGCAGCTCAACTGAGCATACGAGTTTAGATGCAGAACGAGGCAATTACGTGCCCCCAGCACTTAATGAGGGCAGCCCCAATGCGTCCAATACAGCCAAATGTTTGAACTCCAGTGAAGATTTTCATACTCGCAAAGCTGCTGGTGTGGGGGGATATGCATGTCAAATTATTTTTCAGGTATTATTTTCCTCCTAACACTTAGCAGAAACAGCTTTTTTGTCGCAATCCAACGGATCTGCACGGGTTGGCGAAGTCTCTTGTACACTACTAATTTGACCTTCCTAGTACATATTGGACTTACGTTATCATTTTATAGTATAGAAAATACAAAGTGGGTGTCCTGAAGATTCTCACTTCGTTTTCTTTTCATAGGTATCCGCAGGTGCTGTGGTACTTACAGACATCGTATTTTGGACGATTCTTTATCCATATCTTCTATCTCGAAGTCGTGGGCTAAGTTTTGTAAGTGTTTGTTTTTTTGTCCCACCTCTGTATCTATATAAATATAAAGTCATATACTATGCTTATTTTAGAGTGGGAGGGGGTGCCTTTTGTTTTGTTTGATTGAAGTTGTGATGTGTTCACTATCTGGCCACAGTTCGTTGTAACGATGCACTCGGTAAATGCTGTTTGTCTTCTTGGCGAATCAATTTTGAATGGTTTGGTAAGTTCGAATTCTCCGTAGTCTTCTCTTCTGGTGTTCTGTTTGAGTATGGGCAATGATCTGAGGTTGCTTTGAAGTGCAGCGATATCCATTCTTTCGTATTGGATATTTTGTACTGTGGACAGGGACATACGTCATTTTTCAATGGATCCTCCATGCCTGTGTTTCTATGCCGTAACCTTCCACTCCGCTCTAACACAACTTCCTGCAAATAGTTTAGCTTGAACATATGAATGAGATTGTTGGATTGTGCTTTTGCAGGTGGCCCTATCCATTTCTTGACTTGTCACCCCCAACCGCTCCCACATGGTAAGTATATGAATGTGTGGCAGCTACTCGAATGTTTCTTGTTTTTTTGTATTTCCAATGGGTTATGGTCATTCCTTTTGCAGGTATGCTGGGGTTGGGTTGATGAATATCCCTTGTTTTGGAGTTTTTGCTCTAGCGTTCAAAATGAAGCAGTATCTGTTGCCAAAATTGTTCCCGCAGTCATTTCAGGGACGTAGCTGATGCGATTATGTAATGGAACAGCTGTTGGTTATGATGCTGCGCTTCCCAGAGCCCCATCTGTTTGTTTCAAAATCTAGAGTGTGGAGGACGTAAATGTTAAGATGATGATGAAGTGCAAAAAACACAGGCGTGGAAACGAATGGATGGACCCCTACTCTTAGCAATGCTCAAACAGTGGAGGGTGCAAGTTTTTGCAAGCTTATAATAACCATTATCAAGTTCTTGTATCTTCTTCCGATTACTATTCATCATTATTCTTTTTCAGTTAGAGTCGCTTCTCCAACTTCTATTATACATCGAGTACATTAGTGGTTGGAGCTTTATGAGTGGAACAATTAGTTATCCCATTTAGTTTTAGACCTGATACAACCAATGCCAGATATATGCTTTTTTTTTTCTTTAATTTTCATGCGTTGCTCGTTGTTTTATTTTTTAATACATGAATATAAAACAACTTATGTAATGAAAGAAAAACGACGTATTTGATTGGGCACCAATGTTAGGTGTTAAGCAAC